AACAGCCAATAGAAGTGTAGAGTCGATGGTGTGCCCATATATGGCGTCTACTCAGATCCCTCCCAGTATTGCAGGGCTTCACCCTCCTCAAACACGCACGCACACCATATCACACAGGTGTGACATTTTTCAGACGCGGTTATCCAACATGTTTAACAAACAAAAATACTACATGTTAATTACTAGTACTGATAATATTAACTTTTATTATTTTTTATTAACTTTTAATAATTTATTCATCCATTTTGTACTATCTTATACTACTGAGTTCATCAGGGGGAGCCGGAACAGTTTCTAGCATTTCCCCAGTCTATCAACTACCCATCACCACTGGACCACCATTACTGACCTTGGAAGCTAATTGAATTTGTTGTAACTAATGAACAGCTAATACATTCATGTAGAACATTCCCTTGAAGTAATTGAAAGATATAATATTCAAATATTGTCATTTAGAGATTGCAGTTGGTTATTAATGCACAAAGTTTAGATTTTTGCACTTTAGCTGCAACTCCATGCTCAGTGCCAGAGTGCTCAGTGCCAGAGCATTACCAAACATGATCCTCTTCAACCTTGGGTGGAAGGAGAGGGGAGAGGTTTGAGTCTAGTGGATGACCTGTATTGTGTTGAGGTACACCAGAAAAGAAATTAGATACCGTCATTAGGTTCTTTTTACCACAGGTGAAAACAGAAAAAACAATGGATGATATAGTAAATGACTGGTGTCAATGTTTATTACCCTGTTTATTACGTCTGTTTATTACTCTTTTTTCCAAAGTGCATGGACAGCACAGATTTATACTTGGTGAATATTCTACCATTGTTTTCTTGCCAGAGCTGATAGCACTCCTTCTGTACCCCTTGCCTTCATGATAGAAAAATAAAACATAGCATAACTATCCAGTATTTACAGGGTTACATGGTCCTAAATACTTCTTTGATATTTTCCTAGCAATCCAGTAAATGTGTGCATCTGTTGCAAATAATGCATCATATATTAATGAATATATATATATAAATTATGTCGTGAACTGTAGGAGCAGAATTCATGCTTAGTATACTTGATATACTTCATGTTAATGAAGGATGATTTGATTTATGGTTACACTGTGCCTTTAAGAGTCCCTGTTACGTTTCCGGGTTATTGTATGTTTATTTTCCGGTGTCAAGGTGGTGGGATTCATTTTAATAAACGACTTACAAGGGTCAAGAGTAAAACAAAGTACAGTGTGTTTCCTTATACATTATTGACCTTGACTGGTTGTATCCGTAGACGCGAAAGCGAATATGTTGTATCTTTACAGTAGAATTCAGTGTCTGCTTCCGCTGCTACCATATACTCTATGTCTCATTTTACACTGCTGGATTTAAAGGAAGTACAGAACAAGACAGTCAATATAAGCAACAATTATGTGCACTTCAGTTAGTCAAGGACTCACCCAAAACACATAATAACCCTGCAATCAATGACTACATATATGTAAACAAATGACAATACCACAGCAGCTAATGTAGTTTCCCTCAATTTGCTCACAATTCTTAAGAACAACATACTGTATTTTATGTATTTCAACTTAATATTTATGAGTCAGTCTCAATCACCGAATTAATTAATAGATGAATTACACAAGATTTCACAAGTGCTTATGCAAGCCGCGCATGCGCAGTACAAATCATGCCGCCGGTTGTCGCCAGTACATGACGCCTCATAACGTCACGTAATCGAGCCCAAAGCAAGAGGAATGGTGTAAGCGAAGAGCACGTTAAACGAGTAGTTCCTAGGTGAGTATTTTATCCTAGATTCTTTTCCGATCTCCTAGTTTAGTCCGCCATTATTGGAAATAAACTGTTAAGCAGGCCACGCCATATTCCTCTTGTATATAAATAAAAAGCAAACGGTTGTTCAAGCCACTCTGACCTTTAACATGTTGAATGAGTATCAATGAATGTGAAAACCAGAGGAGCCGGTTTCCATTTAACCATAATAATGTTTTTTAAAATAACTCTCGTTAACTGTTTCCTGGTAATGCGTTGTGACGATGTCCTAAAGTGAAGATACTAAATCACCTGACATTAAAGCTGATGTATAAATATAGTGAACAGATGAAGGATGCACACAACCAACAGTAGTAACTTTATAATAACAATAATAATTGTAATAGAAAATGTAACCGATTCGTCATCTTAAGTTACACTGACCAATAATACAGCTGTAGAGTGTGGGCAGAGATCAGATTTTGAAAGTTAGTTAAATTAGGGAGGTGGTGGTGGGGGGCCCATTTGATCAGATCATGACCTTTTGCAAAAAGTCAAACTAAGGTTACTAAGAAAAGTTAAATTAAAGTCATTTTTGACTGCAGGTGATTGGTAAAATGCTATAAAAACATCACTACACTATTTAGCCTCCACACCCCCTACATACTGTACTAATTCATTAAGATAGTCTTGTTCCCTCATTCCCTCACTGGATTTGTCAGACCAAATTGTATTTGACAATAAAGAATTCATCAGCTCACTTTCTTCATTGGTGTTCGCTGTGACTAACTCCATGCAAAACCAACAGTTTCCTGACCAACATGTTCTGTTATCACATATATTTTGTAATATTCTATATGTATTAACATGTAAGCTACGTTGAAATTTGGAGTTCCGTCACTGCTGAGAATTAACCCTCTATTTTACAGCCACTGTTACAAGAGGAAAATGTGGTCCAGTTGTCGGAGAGCTGGGGGAATAAGGATCCAGAAGAAGCAGCAGGATGGGTCTTGGAGTCTAAAGTTCTTCTATGGTGTACCGCTACAAAGACAAAGTCTGAAATCTGAAGATGGAAATGCAACGGCTTTGCTCAAAGGTTAGCAACTGCCTTTGACCTTCAAACCCTGAGCCATCTATGTGAATTTATTTAGGAATAATTTAAAGCACATATTTCTCTGGCCTGATACAGGAAACCACATTGATAACTCTTGATCACAGTGTATGTCGTTTTTCAGGTGGAGTTGGACCCAGAAGACCCTGCTGGTTACAGCAGAGTGTTCACTTCCAGCATACGGACACTGTGGTGACCAGACTCACACCAGAAGACATCAAGAAGGCCAGGGAGGCCAAACAGCCTCTGGTCAGATCTGCCAGGCAGAAAGTGAGCTTGACTTAAGAGGCTAACCCTGTGTTATGGACAGTTCAGATTTTGAAGGTGCTAGTATAAAAACAAAAAAGCTTTTATGAGTTTGTTTTACATGTTTTTCTTTTTCAGCTAAGTGAGCAGGCCAGAGAGAGGAAGGTTCCTTCCACTAGGATCAGCAGGATGGCTAATTTTGGGGGTAGGTCTAGTGTTCTTATAGTTTTTTTTATTAGGTTCTTATGTTATATTTTACAGACCATTCAGCATCAAACAGCACTTCTAATTCTCTGAATTTAAAGTCATCTGTATTTGTTATTGCAGGACTGGCATTAGGACTTGGTATCGGTGCCATTGCAGAAGTAGCTAAACAGTCACTTGGAAGTGAAAGAAAAAAAGGTAAGAAAATGTGTTGTTTCCTAACTATTGATAGCTGTTTCTGTATCCAGTACAGAGCAAACATACAGGAAGTTCTACAGTGAAGACTCATAAACTACTCAGTTAATGTTAACTTTGTGAATTTATGTTTAATACATTAGAAAATCCTTTTGATCGTTTATTTGACAGATGGATAAACAGAAGTATTTGATTTGTGATTCCTGATTAACATGAACATTTAGTTTGTTTTTTTTTATGCGTGCTGTCTTTTCTGCAGACATGGGTGCCCTGCTTGACTCCCCATTTCTATCTGAAGCCAATGCTGAGAGAATAGTTAATACACTGTGCAAAGTCCGTGGTGCTGCGTTGAAGATTGGTCAGATGCTCAGCATTCAAGGTGAGCACTAATCTAAAGTATTAAACCACTGCATCACTGTAAAAAAAACAACTTCCTATTCTTATAAAAACAAATTTCCCTCTTCAGACAACTCATTCATTCACCCTCAGCTGCAGAGCATCTTTGAGCGAGTCCGGAAGAATGCAGACTTTATGCCTACATGGCAAATGAACGTAGGTCGGATAAATTATTTGAACAAAGTTCTGTGTTTTTTGTGGTCACTTCATGTTGGTTGTCTTTATCCTATGACCAGTAAAAAGCACTGAGTTCGTACATGTGCTCTCGTGTTTTTCCGCACAGAAAGTTTTAGTGGAAGAGCTGGGTCCAAGTTGGCGAGAAAGACTTTCACATTTTGAAGACAAACCATTTGCTGCTGCCTCAATTGGCCAGGTGCATTATGGGGTGTTAAAAGATGGTAGAGAAATGGCCATGAAGATCCAGGTGAGGTTTTTATGAAACACATGGTCCTGTCTACCTCTGTCCCCACCTTTGTCTGTCAGTACTGAATGGACCATTTACTTGTTTTACATTTTCCCAAGTATCCTGGAGTTGCAGAGAGTATCCACAGTGACGTAAACAACCTGATATCTGTGCTGAAAATGAACACGTTTCTTCCAAAAGGTAATAAATACACCATTATTAGTAAAGTATGTTTTAAGCCTGATATTTCTTAAGTTATTTTAATCCATTTATTCTTAGAAGTAGTACGTTTATGTAAGTGATGAAAAAGTGATTGATCACAGATTTAGTTTTTCTTAAGCCCAAGAATTGTTGTCATATTGTTTGTATGTGACTCCTGGGATGTCTACTCACCACAAATATACACCATATACAGAGTACACAGTGGTAAAGTTATCTCTTTTATACTTGATCGCTAGCGTTAAAATAGAGATGAACTTAAAGAAGTGGATGTTGCTTTGACAACACTGACAACTTCTCAATCCTAACAGGTCTGTTCCCTGAGAGCAGTTTGGAAGTTCTTCAGCGGGAGCTGATGTTGGAGTGTGACTATGAGAGAGAAGCAGCTTGTGCTAAAAAGTTTAAGTAGGTGACACATTGAAAATAAGATTTGTCGCACTAAAACCACTACTACTAATACTGAGAGGGAAGCCCAGACCTTTATGACGTGTTTTCATTGTTTTGAAGATAAGAAGTCTGACAACACAAGCTGAAATTCCTCTCCTCCAAAAGTAGATAACCAGGACATGTCTTGGTCCAAATCAGCTGCAGGTCTTGATACTTATAAAAGCAGTTTAGACCTCTCTGACCCACGGGGAGCTACATTTCATACTTCTGCCATTCCTATTCTTGGACAGACTTTTCTTCTTAGAGTAGATATATTTTTTACAGAGGTTAATTCCTGTGACTACCACAGTATCTGTGTTGAACTTTGCTTTCCTAACTATCCTAGCCCAATCCTCCTCCTCTGTTCTTTACCACAGGACCAATCATTAATCCTCCAGGGCAGTCGTTGAAAATGAAATCAACTGTGATACCAGAAGTTAATTTTAATTATTTGTTTAATTTTATATGACCACGTATAAAACTCTTATTTTGTCTCTCATTTAATCTCTTATTTCATGTGTAAATTACAATGACGTACACAAATTATCAATGAATTAAACGAACGTCACACAGTGCAGGAAGCACAGGGCCATAGTTACTCACAGATGACTTGGGTTTTCTTCAGCAGGTCACTGACACTGACCGAGGATCAGTGAGAGGCTGTTGTCCCGCAGCTGTTGACACATGTTGGATGTGTTTCCTCCGTTCACTGTAATTGTTATGGTGTGCACTACATGCTGCTAACCCGAGGACACGCCGGTCATTTCTACTGTAGCCAAACTAATCCCATTCTCCCTACGCCTCTGTTCTGTACCTTGCAGGGACTGAAAACAAAGCAACACATGCGGCATTCCGCGATTGTTGTGTAACGTCGTTTCCGTTCCGGCTTGATAAACAAATCAATTATTAGTGTCTTTAATAAACACAGTTAAGTTTTGGAGTAAAACTATTTTTCTTTTCTTAGACAATGTTAAAATGAAATACTATGTTATTACTGTGTTTTAGAATCTATATTTTTTGTCAGATTTGTGAAATTATGTGATTGTTAAGAATCTCACGACCGGGTGACTATAGGTGCCCCTCTCCGACAGCAGGGGGCACTGTTCTTCAACACAAGGGGCTTGAATCGATCCAGGAGATTGCGGTGCAATGCATTGATGAGTCGATATTCTTTAGCCATCTTTAATATGTGACGTCCCTCTATTGTCTGCTTACACATTATTCATTTCTAATCCTCTGACGTGTCTTCTCCAGGTCCCTGCTTGCAGGACATGAGTTCTTTCAGGTCCCTGATGTGATCAATGAACTGTCAGGAAAGAAGGTTCTTGCCATGGAGCTGGTTCATGGTGTCCCACTGGACGGCTGTGTAGACCTGGATCAGGAGACCAGGAACCAGGTTCTGATCGTGTTCCTCATTTCTCAATTTTTATTTCATATATAGAACAGTACATATTAATAATAATAATGTTATTGTGACCATTCACTGCTCTCTGTAGCCTTCTGGTTATTTATATTCTTCCGAAATATTTCCAGTTCAGTGCAAGCATTAATTCACAATGTACATTTTACCTCATTTCATTGTCCTCTACTTCCCTCTCAAACACAAGATATTAACTAAGTGCAGCACCCACCTGGCTGCATCTGTTTCCTTTCCATTTCCTAAATCTTTCAGTGCCACCTTTGCTCATTTTACTGTTAAAAATCCAGCTTTCTGTTGCATTCCTTTTGATTTATTTAGTGATAACATGGTAAATCAACTTCTCTGTTTGCAGATTTGCTTCAACATCCTCCAGCTGTGTCTTAGAGAACTGTTTGAGTTCAGATTCATGCAAACAGATCCAAACTGGGCTAACTTCCTCTACAATCAAGAGACAAACAAGGTAAAGCAAAACTTTCTTGGACTCAAATTAAATTTATAATAAAATACACACACTGCTAACAAATAAATAAAAATGCTCTATGGTCATAATTTTCAGATTGTGTTGTTGGACTTTGGAGCCAGCAGAAGTTTCCCAGTGGCATTCACAGACGACTACATTCAGGTAGTGATAATTTAAATTACATATGAATTGAAATAAGGGAGTTCTCCCAAATTGATACAAATATTAAATCTGTTTTATGTGTTTAATCTTCAGGTTCTACATGCAGCTTCAGTCCGTGACAGAGCAACTGTTCTTTCAAAATCAAAAGATCTGAAGTTCCTGACAGGATTTGAGTCAAAGGTAAATGAAGTATTAAATCCTGTACTGTCAGCAGCTACTGCGTTCCT